GCCTCAGGCTTCCAAGTAGCTTGGAACTATAGGTGTGCGCTACCACGCCTGGCTACTTTTTTGGTTTATTGTAGAGACGAGGTCTCACCAAGTTGCCCAGTCTCGTCTTGAACCCTAGGACTCATGCATTCCTCTTGTCTTGGCCTTCCAAAGTGCTGGGATTACAGGCTAGAGCCACCATGCCCAGCGTAAATAGCTTCTATACAATGTAGACTGAATAATGGCAAATTGTTTTATAGAAGGTGATATTATTTTTTAATATCAATCTTTCAAATTATCCAGGGGCAGAAGGTTAAATCATAGCAATGAAAATATTTAAAATTTGAAAATGTATTGTGATTTTAGAGTTACATAAGAGCTTTAAACATGGGGTGTCGATACATACATATATACTATATATATACATTTCTTTTTATTTATTTTTCAACAATTTTTCTACAGAGTACTGGACCTTATTTCATGTACTCTTTATTTTTATTGCTTTCTTTTATGTTTAAAGAATTCTAATTTTAACCCACTGAATTGATCTTGTAACCCACAAAAGTTAGCTTAATAACCCACTAATGGATCAGAACCTGAAGTTTTTTGAGAGCCACTGTAAATCTCATATAATCCCCAGTTTTGACTTACCCAGGGACACATTACTGAAAATAACCAAACCAGAATCCAGACATTGCTACGTTTCCCAAAAATACATTTTTTATTAAAAATAGGCATGGCGTGGTAGCTCACATGTGTAATCCCAGCATTTTGGGAGGCCAAGGTAGAAGAATTGCCTGAGCCGAAGAGTTTGAGACCTGCCTGGGCAACATTGCGAGACCTCATCTCTACAAAAAATAAAAAAATTAGCAGGACATGGTGGTAGGTCCCTGTAGTTCCAGCTACTTGGGAAGCTGAGGTGGAAGGGTCACCTGAGCTAGGTGACTGAGGCTGCGGTGAGCTGTGATCATGCCACTACTCCAGCCTAGTTGACAGAGCAAGATCCTATCTCAAAACAACAACAGCAGCAACAACAACAAAAACCTCTTTTATACAGTGTAACAGTAAGTTCCAATGTAGAAAAAATTTGAGGATAAAATTTTCAATTAGAAAATACTAGGCCGGGCGTGGTGGCTGACTGCTATAATCCCAGCACTTTGGGAGTCCGAGGTGAGAGGATTGCCTGAGCCCAGGGGTTTGAGACCAACCTGTGCAACTTGGTGAGATCTCATCTGTATAATAAATAAAAAAAATTAGCTGGGTGTGGTGGCACCTACCTGTAATTCCAGCTACTTGAAAGACTGAAGTGGGAGGATCACCTGAGCCCAGCAGGTTGAGGCTGCGGTGACTGTGAGCGTGCCACTGCACTCCAGCCTGGGCAACAGAGTGAGACTCCAACTCAAAAAGAAAAGAAAAGAAAAGAAAATATCACCTGTCCTTATTTCCCTGGTGTGAAATGTTAAGGCCCATGAATTTCAAATGGACTTGTAAAATATCAACATAATTTTATTTATTAATAGTCTGTGATTAAATATACAAACTGCTAGCCAAAATAATAGATTGGTCTGTTTTGAATTACAAACACAGAATAACTCATTTATAGACAGACTTTAAATTGTCACCTAGGAATTAATGAAAAGAAATGTCATTTTTGCATTTTCTGCAATTGTCTTAGTCTTTTATTTTATCTCATTTTGGAAGAGAAATGTGGGAAGAGAAGGATAAATAAAAGACAAAGCTGATGTAAAGCAAAGGGAATAAATGGCTCCTTTAATTCTTTTATTTTAACCCTTGTTCCTGTGTTCCCTAGCTATGTGACTTTTGGAAAAATACTTAACATGCCTGCATCTCACTTTTCTCATTTAGTAATAATATCTTTTTCATAGCTTTAATGTTAAGGTTAAATTAGGGCCTTATGGCATAATATATATATATGTATTTTTTTTTCTTTTTTTTTCTTCTCTGTGTTGGAGTCTCACTCTGTTGCCCAGGCTGGAATGCAGTGGCACAGTCATGGCCACCGCAACCTCAGCTTGCTGGGCTTAGGCAGTCCTTTTGCCTCAGCCTTGCTGGAACTACAGACACACACTTCTATGTCCTGCTAATTTTTGTGATTTATTGCAGAGACGAGGTCTCATCAAGTTGCCCAGGCTGGTCTCGAACCCCCGGGCTCAGGCAATCCTCTTGCCTCAGCCTCCCAAAGTGTTGGGATTACAGGCTGAGCCACCGTGCCCGGCCCATAAAATGTATTTTAATATATACTATACTTGGTGTCTTCTTTCCTTTCTTCCTTAGAAAGAAATTCTGTGGAAATATGTTGCTAAAATAAGTAGGGCTAAGAGAATGTAGATAAATGGCAAAAATACTTTTTAAAAAAAATTGGTTATTCTTTTCCTAGTTAAGTCTATTGTGTGTGATCTCAAGTTGTTCCAAATTCTTTTAGGATTGGTAACTAATAAATAGGTAGGCTTCCTTTACTTCCTGCTACCCTTTCCCTTTTTTTTTTTTTTTTT